TTATCACTGGATCCAGTTTATGTGTTAAATTTGCCATATTTTCAGACTATTTGTTGCCATAGCAACCAGAATTTTCAACATAGAAAGAAAAAAAAAGACGTGCATAATCTTCCATTACTGCCATCTATCCATATATCAAGTTTCATAAAAATATTTTCAGTACTTTTTGCGTTATCGCGGGATCCAGTTTTGTGGACGGACGGACTGACAGACAGACGGACAGACAGACAGACGGACCGAGGGTAAACCTAAAGTCCCCTCCGGTTAAACCGGTAGGGGACTAAAAACTCTTAACAAACAAACAAGAAAAATCTTTCTATGATTACCGGTATGTATAATAACATTTTAACAAAAAGGATAACTGACAAATGAAAATGTTATCATTCAAACATAAACATCTGTTAAAAGAAAGCTAACTAACAAACAAAAGAGTTATCATTCAAACTAAACAACTAATAATGTAAAATAAAAATAAATACCACAAAGACATGAGCAAATTTTTAGGGTAAAAAAATGTAAAAATATTATATGTCATTTACGATTGATACATTTAGTTTTTCTTCGAGTCATTTACCATGCTTTGGAAAATAATATTATAATATCATAACTTTTGAATTATGGAAATATAGCAGTAATAAAGTTGACACTCCAAAACCAAAACAGATCTAAAATATTGCCATTTTTTTCTTACAGACAAACATTTTTAAGACCATTCATTCCTGAACAACTTTTTTTTGAGATTTATTTAATCTAAACAAATTTGTTCTGTAAATCATGTTGTCCACCTTAGTGCAATAACTGGTTAACTCCTATTGAATTGCGAAGGAGCTAAACCATTACTGCCTAAGGTGGATTGATATTTGTCCGTGTTGAATCGACTTTAGCACAAAATTAAGCCCACATTTGTTTTCCACAAAAGTCATGTTTTTGAAGCACCTCACTCAAAAAAAACACTACTGGTACAAACATAATATGTGTACTCAATAAGCCACTCCCAAATTAAACAAATTCTATAATCAAACATAAATAGATTGGTTTTTACTAGTACTTTTTATGTTTCACTAACAATTAATTATAAGTGAATACAAATTTCCTTCACCTTACAAAGCAATCTTTAATTCTATAAACCAGGCTAATACAATAAATGATCTAATATATCAAGCAAAACAAGCATTACCAATATTCTACCTACATGTATATATCTAAAGAAATACTATAATTATGCTCATCCCTAAGGTAAAAAATTTTAGTCAAGAAAATTTATTGAAATCTGTGAAATTTTTACTGAGTATGTCTAATTTGAATAAAAGAATGAATATACGATGCACATGGGAAGTTGTTTTTATGGGGTAAGTAAAATTTGTCTGTCCTTTAAAAAAAATGCCATTTTTTTCTAATGACACTATAAATTCATATTTTGACTATGTAAAGTGTGCAGAATTTTAAACATATCTACCTTGAGTCAATTTAAAACATGTTTTATAGTGCCTGTGCAGCAATTCTTAATATCTTCTAATATCAGATTTAAGCATATAGTATTATATCTTTAAAAGGTGTAAAGCTATATCTTATGAAATATGTCTATAAAATTAATAAACATTAAAATTGTATTGTATCCATAAACTTACAAAACATTTCCAGACAGAATTGTTACTAAGAAGGACTCTGTTATTCAACACATATAAATATTGTACGTAAACAGAATTAAATGTACCATAAAAATTATGCTGCTATTATTTAATGCCCCTCCCCTAATCCCATAATAAAGCCCCCCACCCCCTACAGGTTTTTTGATGAATACAGAATCTATTCATCAGTACGGATCTCAAGAGTCAATCTTTAATTATATTCAAATCCTTCAGAGTACATCTTATTTTCTATTCACAAAAATGTATGATTTAATTTTTTTAACTTTATTAAACACCAGAATGATGTAATTTACAAAATTCAAAAAAACTGTGTTTGAATACCCCCCCCCCCCCCTTAAAAAAAGTTTTAGACCCCCGTTCAATAGGAATTTATAATGCTGCTATTTTTTTAAATAGTGACTTTACCACACGCTCTTGCATAACTTGGTTTTGATCGTCGAAATAGGGATTTTTATCCAACATACGTCCCGGACCTCGAAAGTGGCAATTGAAAAGACACTTTATATACTGGCATGCGAGCAGTTCCCGTACAAAAATCATAGTTACTTAAACATTATTTTTTATTACGCTCACTCACCAAAATCTGAATGTTACACATCAATATTCGGCTCGTCACACAAATCAGGGAAATTCCATCATGTTCTAAACATAGAATAACCCTTACTTATGAGGCCTCATATGGGGTACCGAAATTATCCATTATTTTGTATGAAGAGAAGTAGTTCCCGTACATAAAATCTAACCCATTATAATTATACAATTTTATTATATCGGACCTATTTTTCATTTACAATTTGTTGAACAGACCATTATCTAAGAGATAAATAGATGTAATGTTCAGGAAATAGAGCGTAGACTAAACGCGGGTATCTATTACCCGGTACCGTTACCCCAACGCATTCACATGCAATAGCAATGCTTGTATGCATGATATTTTACGCATCAAAGGCATAAAATTATTTTATATAGTAATATTGGTCAAAAAATTCTGATAATTAAACAAGTTTTCATCACATTGCCTACTTATTTGTAAACAGGTGGTATTAGTGGAAAACCACTTTAACAAGCCTCACGTGTAAGTATTTTTGCGCATGCGCGCAATGACAGAATCCCCCAGAGAAAACAAGGTCACGTTTTGACGACGCACAGGTGAAAGTGATTTAGAATGAGACTTTTTATACGTACTGCCAAACTGACACTTAGATTTTGTCTCGTTTATGTATCTGCTTGATTTGAAATGATTTTTTGAAGAATGCAGGTAAAAATCAAGCGTTTAAATGAAAAATACGGGTACTGCTTCTGTACGGGAACTGCTCGCATGCCAGTATGGTTATGTAACATTAGGAAAAATCTATTTTCCTTTTTACATTTTTATTTTAGCCTTGATTTAACCATTTTAACGCTTCATTTAGTGACAAAATGCATGTTTTTCATCTGAATTTGATAATTATGTTTATAAATAAACAAAGCATCTAATGGCTTTTACAAAGTCATTTTTCATGGAATAACAATTAATAATTATGGTTTTATCCTAACAAATCCTAACAAATCAACTTTAAAGTTTAAAACTGATCTATATTTAGCTTCCAATAAAACTGCATAAATAGCTATAATTGTATTCCGTCATGCACAACAACTTTCTTATTATATTATTGAAAATGGTATAGCCTTTTCTAAAGTAATTAAAGTATTTAAAGTAATTAAATATACAGATTGATCTTTCATGTCTTGATTCTTTATGTATTCTTTGTCAATACTTTTAATTATGACTAGATTTATGTGGATTTTTGTAAACATACATGTTTGTTTAGTACTTGCACCAAATGTATAATAATTATAGGACTGCACATGTACAGTTAGTATATAACATTATAATATCATTACCTTAGAATTATGGAATAAGCAGTAATAAATTTGACATTACAAACTAAAAAAGATCTAAAATATTACCATTTTTTTCTTACAAGGTAAAAATCAAAGACAAACATTAATGTAAGACCCTATTTTTATGTTTGACTAGTAATTTAAAGAAGTAAATACTTTTCCTTCACTTAAAAACAAAAGCATTTTAATCTTCCAAAACCAGGCTAATACATGAATTATAAATGATCTAGCATATAAAGCAAAACAAGCATGACTTTTCAGTGTTGTTATATTTTTCTGGTCCTTCGGGATCATTGATGCCAGCAAGTGTTGAGAATTACTCAAGCCGGTGCTAGGGGACGTGAGGGATATTGCACTAATTCATTATCTCTCATGTACAGACTCAATCAGAGTCTGCAATTTTCATATAAATTTGATGTGATTTATGCTTCCGAGGGATCACTTTGTTTCCAGATTTGATTTTTTTTTTCAACCTACATGTTTATTGTATAATATAATTCTATTTTTGGCCTATCATCTATCCACAACGACTTATCACCATAACATAACATAACAACTATAGCTTTATATTGATAAAGTGAAGATTTTTCAATTAAAATAAGAAGGTGTATATATTTTCCTTGTATATTTTAATCTGAAGGAGTTTCATGAAATTATATCAGAACTAACTGAAACAGGAAGGTCATAATGACCCTATATTCCTCACATGAAACCAATTGTGGTTTCACACAAGATGATTTGAATGTGTTTTCTGCAATAAAAGCCTATGTAAATTGAGTTTCCAATACACCAAGCCAAAATTGACCCCTAGTAGGGATTTATGAGAAATGTGTAGATGACCACAAGTTAATGCTACATAGGAAATATATGAGCTCTGGGCACTTCAGTATCTGACTCACAGGAGGATATACATGTGTTTTCATATAAAAATCTTTGTAAAATATGTTAAATGTGTTTTCATATAAAAATCTTTGTAAAATATGTTAAATGTGTTTTCATATAAAAATCTTTGTAAAATATGTTAAATGTGTTTTCATATAAAAATCTTTGTAAAATATGTTTGTGTTTTCATATAAAAATCTTTGTAAAAATATATACTCCTTGGTGTTATTTAAGGGTAGAACTTATAAGTTTCATAGTAAACTAAATGTATATGTCACAGGGTGATATTAATAAAACAGTGCAGCCTGACTGGGAATTGGGCCCGGAACCCCCGTAATACTGTCTCGGCTCTACCTGCTGAGCTATATGGCCGTTAATAACACTATCTTCCCTAAATGGTGAACAGTTTAATACTGTGACATTAAACAGGTCAACATAAGATACTGATTTACTCAGTGAAACTACATTTCCTAGTTCCTCAGAATCATTGATTCCAATACATTAAGAGTTTTCGGGTTGGGTTATTAGTCAACCAACAAGGTACTTAAACAAAGCACAAAGAATTCAAGAAAAAGGGGGTGTTTAATAGGGCAATAAAGAAGCGCAATAATTATCAGAAATACGGTAATGTTAATTTGAAGCTGTGCTATATGTGTTCCTGTTGGTCTATATTTCTACATATTCCACTTACGGTTGTCTGTGTCATCAGCTATAAATATCATATAGTACATATACATAATCATATCTTAATAACTTGTCATCTGTGTTGGTGTTTTTTCTTTACATGCAATTTATTACAACACTATTTAAGGGACTCCACTGAGGTTAATTGACATGAGAGGGTTGGAAATATTTTTCAGAGATTTGTGTACTACTTAATGTTGATAAAGACAAATGTGCCGCGTCACGACAAAACCAACATAGCGCGTTTGCGACCAGCATGGATCCAGACCAGCCTGCGCATTTGCGCAGTCTGATCAGGATCCATGCTGTTCGCTTACAAACCCTATAACAAGTAGAGAAACTGATAGCGAACAGCATGGATCCTGATCAGACTGCGCAGGCTGGTCTGGATCCATGCTGGTCGCAAACCCATTATGTTGGTTTTGTCATGACGCGGCTCAAATAATTTATGTGCAAATCTTCAGATCATTTGCACACCCTGTTTTTGCAGAATCATCTTTTTTACTGTGAAAAATAACCAAAAAAGTAAAAGCTTTGCATGGCTTTTCACTCAAAGCAGACTAAGAATTGCCCCAACTTTCGGCTTTCTGACCTCAGTGGAGTGCCTTTAAGGTCAGGTGACATTTTCCCAGCTTTATAGGAAAAGGTTTTGTTTTGGCTCTTAGTGAAGGGACATTATGAGCAACAAAAGATGGAAGTAATAACCCCATAAAGTAGGTCTCGTAAGAATGTCAATGCATTATTTTAGGCATGAGCTGGCACCTCAGTAAAACCACCAACCTTCCATAAGCTAGCTGAATATATATATTAGTATTACTTCTAAGTACTGGTATTATTAGTTTTACAAATTACTGGCTAAGAGGTATAAAATACAGTGTATATGCATTTTACAACATCAATACTTTGATTATTATTATGACAACATCACATTGAAAAAAAAAATCAATTACACAAGCTTGCAAAAACATGTGAGTTGTATCTCAAAATAAATGTAATTAAATGACAAAAACTACAAAAAAAGCTAAATAAATGTTTTAAAAACTAACTAAAAACAAATTTCCATGCACAAAATTAAGACTTGACTTAATTAGAAATGAACTAGAAAGACTCCTATATTTGAACTAAATGTTCACAGTATTCTAGTCGAAATTCGAAAATGTATTTGTTACACTAAGTTTTGATGATTTAAAGCACTTTCCACAGTCTTTTTCATTCAACTATAATTATTCAAAGAATTTGATAAAAATACAATATGATGTTCAAATTTACATCAGGTTTGAAGAAATATCTGACATCAGGCCCATCTATGAATCAAATTTCAATCAAGGTTCTATAGACCAAATCAAAAAGAAACTTACCTGATTTTAGGAACCAGAAATCACAGTCGGATATTTTCTTAATCTGCCAGATATCCCCAGGCATTTTCTCTTCCTCTTCCCCTTCCTCCTACAGAACATAATTTATGTATCAATCATTTTAATTTTTCTTTTTTTGCTACAATTATTCAAGCAAAATTCTTCTATCCTAAGAAAGTTTTCTGAAAGTATGAACCGTAACAACATCTTATTTTTATCACTCTAGTGCAATACCATCTAGTACAAGATTTCATTATCCCATGATAAGCAGAAAACAGCCAATTCTTATGTAAAAATTAGATCCCCCGACTTATACATGCTCCGAGTCATATATATGAGTAAATGCAGTAGTTACATGTAAAAGCAAATACAGTCAAACGTGTATCAAGCGACCGGGCAAGGGAAACACCAAAAACGGTCGCTTAATGAAACGGTCTCTTAAGACAGTCAGCATGATATAAAAGTCAAAATTTATAAATGACATCTTTTTTATTCGATGGGATTGTTTTTCAATATCATTTTTATATAAATGTTGAATAATAAGTACGCTCCGACAATCTAAACGGATGCAAATGTAAAAATAACGTTCTGATATTTATTGACAAAACAGTTTTGATCCATTACGTACATGTTTGACTTTTTTTCCAGAATTTTTAACTTCTCCGTTGTTTTTCCTTGTCTCCAACACGAAAACCCTGTTAGTGAAGATGTTTTCTGTTGTGCATTTTTTCATTTGAAATTAACAAACAACATCTATTTGTTACGATTAATTTAATGGCTGATCAAGTTCAAGGTCAATTCAATGCAGTCTTAATGTCAACAAGCGAAGCGTATACACCATCTCAGTATGGGCGGAGTGTTGCATTGTTTATCCGATATTATTGGATAATACACGTCGCGCGTATACTTAACTTCATTTGCATACGCTAAAACGGTATGGGAAATAGAGTTTTTCACACGTTTATTGTTGTGTTTTGATTGCTGACACTTGTGACATAACGAGGTGGCGTTTCTAAAAACACAATTACTTGAAAAGTGGTCGTTTAATGAAAAGATTGATGTCAATTAGTTGACTAATTAACGGTCGCTGGTCGCGTTGAGCAAAAGTCGCTTAATACATTAAAGATAAAGAGGGAAAATGATCGGGGGGAATTTAAAGTGGTCGTTTAAGACAAAAGTCGCTTAATACACGTGGTCGCATGGGCAAGTTAGACTGTATTTGCATTTTTTGGTTATTTTCAATAATTTAAGAAATATTCTGAGTAAAAAAGAACAAACTAAGTAGGTAAATTTATCAGCTAATGCTACTTAACAAAGTGGCAAATATTTGCATTTTTTTTTTTTCATTTTTACATACTTTAAGAGCTATTCTAAAAATAACAAAATCATACTTCTTGTTTAGACAATCCAGCGGCTATTGCCGACATTGTTTTGATGGTAGCTGGGGAAATGTTCAGGATTAAATCTGTAGTAGAAACATCCATATGTGCTCCCTGATCCTTAGGCGTCTTACTGTAGAATGATATGTCACATGGGGTCAATATCTGAAATATACACATGTTGCATATGCACATGGCACAAATGGTCATATATGAAATATTAGGTTAAATTTGGTCACATGGGGTCAATATCTGAAAATACAAATGTTGCATGGGGTCAATACATGAAATATACACATCACATGGGGTCAATACATGAAAAATGCACATGACACATGGGGTCATATATTAAATATTTAGTTAATTTATGTCACATGGGGTCAATACATGAAATATTTAGTTAAATTATGTCACATGGGGTCAATATCAGAAATATATAGTAACATTTTGTCATATAAGGTCAGTTAATACAATAAATTATTATCATCATGTTATGTCACATGGGGTCAATTCCTGTAATATAAACTAAATATATTACCAATATGTTGTCAATATCTGAATAATATACATGTATGTCACATGGGGTCAGTTTCTGAATAAGAACATTATTAACACATAGTCAATATTTGAACAATATTAAGTCAAATGGGGCTATATTTATTTGTGAAAATATATGTAACTCTTAGTCTATATATGAACTAAATAAACATCATATCACATGGTTTCAGGATCAAATACAAGCAATATATCACAACGACATGGGTTAATATCTTCATTATGTACAGAATTTTTGTTTCTTTGTTCTGAACATGGAACATATCTCAAAAAGATGTTGGGAATTATAAAATATTTTCAAAAGCACAAAGATCCAACATTTCTTCCTTTTTTAAACATGAATATACAAGATATTTACCTGTGACCCGGAGCCTCTACTGTTGTATTTACATGAGACTATACCGAGGTTTTTAATGGCAGCTGACATGTCCATTGTCTCCGTACTCTGTCTCATCCTGAACACTAACTCCATCTGAAATCATTGTAAATATATCTATACTAACTCCATCTGAAATCATTGTAAATATATCAATACTAACTCCATCTGAAATCATTGTAAATATATCTGTCTGATTTTACAGCAAAATTATCATATTTTCAGACTGAAATTCATTTTTAAAGGGGACAGGGTAAATAAATGATGAGAGCATAATAAAACAAAATAAATATATGAATGAAGGCATCATAAAAGAATAGGGTATTAGTGTATATAATGGTATGAAATTTAAGGGCACTCTAAGCACAGGATACAGTCGACTCCCGTTATCTCGAAGTCGCCAGGACTGTCCACAAAAGTCAAGATAACGGAAACATCCAGATAAACAAATAAGCCATGATAAGGGTTTTGACCAACTTAAACTAGAAACTGATTTTTCTACATCAGGCATGGACATACCTATTATTTACATCAGATAAAACTGAGTAAGATGTACTTTTTTTATTTCATTGGTGTTTTGCACAAAATAAACAGGATCACAAAACAACAAGGACAAAAGAGAACAAAATATTTGACTTAAACATTAAATTCTATTTAAGCTTGATTGCTAAACAAGTTCTTGCAACTTATATTAATCACTTCGGAGTCTGCTTCCTGGAACCAACCAGAACTAATGTCATATGAAAAAAACATGGTTGTGAACTGATTGGGGCTCGAACCCATGATCCCTGGGTTGAGAGGCAGACATTTAAACCACTAGGCCACAGCTCCCCTTAATGTACCAGGATATTTAATAACTTACATCTAACATGAGGGCACTAGTATCTTGTTTAGACTGGTCTTCAATCATGATAATTTCTGGTCTATCTATAGAGACAGATATATTCATCTCACCTGCCACCGGCTCGGCAGGCTTTGGTTGTACTGCAGCTGCTGTGAAAATAAAGAGACAATAAATATGTTTGATAATTGATCGCTTAAACATATATTCAGTATTAATTTAACAATTGAATCATACCAAGGCAATAAATAAATTCAAATATATACCCTATAACATGGAGATTTTACATGGAAAACTTTGATCGATTGTACTCTGATTAGGTTTTACATGGCACTGACACAGTTTAGGTCATATGGCAGCTTTCCAGCTTTACCGGTGGAGGAAGACCTCAGGTGCCCTTCCATGCATTACTTCAGGCACGAACAGGGGCCTGTGTAGAATCACAGACGTTCACACTAGCTGGATAGCTTCCTCACATGAAACAATCCAAAGTCCCTTTTGGGATTGGAACCCACATCGGTGCTGCCAAGTATAAAGCAACAATTTATTGTTTGGTTTTCCATGCATGTAGGGTAAATGACAAATTTCATTCACTTTCCTGTATTTTTTACCAAAAAAAACTATAAAACTATTTTATCTCAAGAATTAAACTCACCTTTTTGTGTTTCTTTGGCAGGAACAGGTGGTGGTTCTACCTCGGGTTGTTTAGGTAGACCTTTCACAAAGAAGTCGGCTACTGACATCAGGAAATCCAGGCATACACACACATATAAACTGCTCATGTGTACATCAACTGAAAATGGTGTAATAATATTACAGTTATTGACTAGCTAGCCATTGAATATGATGTGATATTCACCCGTCGAATGTTATACTGACCAGGGTGATAGGTGTTTTTTTTTTGTGCATAATAAATATATTATGTCAAGAAATAACTATGGCTACATTTTATATACTTTAAGCTTAGCTAATGTTATACGCCTTTTATTTCAACAATAGAATCAATGTAAATCATCAGCAGCAAATAGGAAAGTCATGTAAAAATCAGGTCAAATGAAATTCACTATCAACAATATTCATGGCAAACATGAATTACAGACATATTATGTTTGAATTTTTTACTACACTATGTTAATTTTGTTGGTTTGTTTTAAGGGTACACCAGCACAGTATAGGTCATATGGTGCAGAAACAGGAAAGATGATTTTGACTAACCTTGGGTATAACAAACTTCAAAGCAACACCAGGAGTCAAAACCACCTCACCTGCTGAAGCTAAGACATGCATAGACTCCAGTTATTTAAACCCATTCAGTCGCCTTATACGATCACACAGGGATAAACGGTGGCTGCAAGTCTTATGTCTCAACCATAAAAGGCAACCCCTCAGCCAAAAGGGGCACACCTTGTTTATGTGAATGTGGCTGAGGCACAGTGGTTAACGTGTCTGCTTCTCAACCAAGGCATCATGGGTTAAAAGTTTATATAAAAAAAAAATTAAATTAACAAAATATTTAATATCTTTGTCTTATCTAATTAATACAATATGTTGTTAGTTTTTTCCAATTTGCTTAAAACATTGTAAAAAAAATCCAATTCTGGGGGTTGGGTCATATTCCAAAGAGCTAAGAAAAAAACCCTGGATTTTGGTTCACAACTGACTGAAGAATTAGCAACCATAGACACATGTATATAAAGTTCACTTCAGTCTGGGCTGAATTAAATTAAACATCCTATCACCCTTAATATATTCACCCTGGTCTACAATAGATACCGTAAACATTCTAATAAAGGAAAACATATAGTGTTTTAATTGTGAATAAAAACATTCTAAATAGAATTAATACATCACCAATGTTTCAAGTGACTACTACCACAACAACAACAGAAGGTATAGACAAATTTTCCAGCAGTTTAGCACAGTCATCAAAACTTTAAAAAAAATGCATCATTTTTAAGGAAAATGGTATAAATTTTAATTTTTGCATTAGAGGATGCATTTACATAATAATGCCAATGAAAGTTAGAAAATAATTATGCTGTTTACAGTTGGGTTTTTTTAGACAATAGAATACAAGTAATTTCTTTTCATGAAAGGAAGTACATGTATATGCAAAAACTTTTTTTGAACTTATTGATTTGTCATTCAGACAAAATATTCATCTAAATACAATAAAAGTTTGATTTAAAACGAACAGCAGTTACCTCATAACGATATATTTGGGTACTGGATAATGATTACTAACATAGTTTACTTTGTTTATTTTTAATAATTCCCCCCCCCCTTTCCACTGTAAATATTACCGATGCCTTATTTAAAGGTTTGGCAAAGTTTCACTGTCTTTAATTAATTCAACTTGGTCACTTATAGAAAACTATCGTCGGATTCTTTTTGGCGATGGAATTGAACTTGGGGCCGATAAATGTCTTTTCCGTTGTATTGATATTTTGAGAAATGAATATACAAAAGCAACGCAGTATAAAACTACTAACTTTCTTATTGATAGTGATTTTATCTTACCAATTCCTTGTACATGTTGGCATTAATATAAAACGGTAACATCTATGCCTTACAATAACTCAAACGGACATAATAAACAAATCAGACAATCAGAGTCCCATTACCACTCAGTTAGCATTTTAGACACAACCAATTCACAAGTACACAATGTTATTCACACCTTCGGCGTCCGGTATTGTCAAGGTAATTATCTATATAATTGACTTCATGGTCCCCTATCAACCGTCCGATATTCGGTTTTTACAGATTCCGGTATTGTCAATGTTTAATGCAAAAGTTTAACGAAGGGGATATTTGGGACTGAATTAATCGTCCGGTATATAGAGAGTTCCGATTTTCTCAGCGTCCGGTTTTCTCAACTTTCACTGTACATTCGTAACAAGAAATGGTACAATTTTTGTTTTTATTTTGAAGATTTTTTTTTTAATTTTCACAACTGCTGGAAAGTCTGTGTAAAACCATGTGATATCTACTTTTATTAAAATTGTCACATTGTGATTGGAGGTTGAACACCATGTGACTTGGTCATGTGTTTTAACAAATTTGTTCATGTGCTTATAAAATGTTGGATTAATATTAAAGATATAAAATTATACATATTTATTAACAGGATCATAAATCAATGTTATCACATGAAATCAATAACATTTATGCCTTTAAATTGTTGACAGGAGGCATTTAGTGATCGCAATCAAAATTTCTCAAGAAAGCATTTACATTACATTGAACTTTACATTAAGCCTTTCCCTGTGACTTTTAAGACAAGACGGCCATGTTGGTCCTGAGGTCGCTCACCTGTACAAATATAGGCCCCCGGAGCGGGGCCAGTTTAAACCCCAGAGCTTTTATTTGAACAAACTTGGAAGACACCCATTAGAAGATGTTTCATGATGTTAAGTTTTTACTACACACATATAATGAAAAACAATGACCTCCCCCCCCCCCCCCCCGGGCAGGGCCAATTTTAACCCAAGGGCTTTTATTTGAACAAACATGGTTTTTTAATAGAAGATTTTTTTTTAGTTTTTACTATACATATAATTAGTTAAAAACAATGACACCCCTGGAGCGGGGACAGTTTTGACCCCAGGGCTAATATTTGAACAAACTTTGTAGACACTTACTAGAAGATGTTTCATGCTTAATATCTAAACTCTAGCTATTTGGGTTTTTTCAAAGAAGATTTTTAAGTTTTTGCTATACACATATAAGGAAAATCAATGACCCCTGGGGCGGGGCCAATTTTGACCCCAGGGCTTTTATTTGAACAAACTTTGTAGACACTCACTAGAAGATGTTTCATGCTTAATATCTAAACTCTAGCTATTTGGGATTTTTCAAAGAAGATTTTTTAAGTTTTTGCTATACACATATAAGGAAAATCAATGACCCCCTGGGGCGGGGCCAATTTTGACCCCAGGGCTTTTATTTGAACAAACTTTGTAGACACTCATAAGAAGATGTTTCATGCTAAATATCTTAGCTCTAGCTCTTTGGGTTCTTTAAAAGAAATTTTTTTAAGTTTTTACTATAAGCATATAGGGAAAATCAATGACCCCCTGGGGCGGGCCAATTTTGACCCCAGGGCTTTTATTTGAACAAACTTGGTAGACACCCACTAGAAGATGTTTCATGCCAAATATCTAAGCTCTACCTCTTTGGATTTTTTTAAAGAAGATATTTTAAGTTTTTTTCTATCGGTTGCCATGGCAACCAGAGTTCTGCATGGAATTAAATTCTTTGAACAATTTTTTAAGGTGACCACCTAAGGAACATTCCTGTGAAGTTTGGATGAAATTGGCTCAGCGGTTTCTGAGGAGATGTCATTTAAAGTAAAAGTTTACGGACGGACGACGGACCCGGACGGACGCCGGACGAAAAGCGATCACAAAAGTTCACCCTGTCACTTTGTGACAGGTGAGCTAAAAACTGGAGAAAGGACAATCGCTTGTAAGCATTTATCACATCAAAATAAGATGAAAATTGCGAACTCGCTTGATTGCGTCTGTTAATGAGGGATAATGAAAATTATTTTTCAAGAGGGCATATCACACCTGGACATGTTGATGTTTTATCACTTAGTTGTGTGATCATATACATATACTGTATAGCATATTAAAAAAAAAAAAACAACAAAAAGAGAAACAAGTTAGTTGTGTGCAGGCTGGTCTGGATCCATGCTGGTCACAAACCCATTATGTTGGTTTTGTCATGGCTCGGCTCTACAAACCCTATAACAAATAGAGAAACTAATAGCGGACAGCATGGATCCTGATCAGAATGCTCGGATGTGCAGGCTGGTCTGGATCCATGCTGGTCACAAACCCATTATGTTGGTTTTGTCGTGACGCGGCTCATTTATTGATTTCTTTCTCTTAATATTATATTTTATGGGGTCATTCAACACAACATATAGCTGGAATTTTACTTTTACTGAAATTAACCAACTTATTCAGAATCTTTCATTTTTTATTCAGTTTTACCTGATTATCATCCATTTCCCGCTTCTTTCAACAACTTACGATGTCATATACTCGCCACTTGTGACCAAAACTGGCATTTTACAGTAATTGAGTTTTACAGCAATAATTATTTTAAAACAAGACAAAATTATTTAAGTTTATTTTTTCCCCCTTTAATTTTATAAAAAAAAACACACAAAAACGGGATGGGATTTCAAAAACTTCAATGTCTTACACAAACACATCCACTTACACATTAATTTTCTCTTAATTATATACTCTTATTATTTAGTGTCCGTTAAATTAAACAATGATACCCACGTGATGTAATATTTTCCTTATTCTATTTGCATTAAAGTGTTTATTCTGATTAATACATGTATATCAGCCCTTACATGTTACTATATATATATATATATATATATATATGTGGATAAAGAGAAATACTTGGGAAACATCTTGACACTGGAAATAAAATAGCAACCGAAAGAATACATGTGATTACTGTTCAGTAAGTCCTGAAAGTGTTCCCTGTCTCAAGTGTTGTTAGAACAGATGAAATTCAGCTCATAAATTTCCTTGAAGTTCTCTTTCTTATAAACTTAAAATATGATTGAGCGAGTGTCTGACAGGGGTTGAAGGTTACCCGGAAAAGTTTATCACGCAGTTGTTACTTAAAAAAAATGAGTTTAACTGCGGAATAACGTCACTATTGCAGTGGAAAAATTATTAGTGCAGTAATTGTCATTAAATCGAGAAATATGCTTGAAGAACAAGATACACAATACATTTTTAAGGAAATTTACGAAAT